GATCAGTTATGTTGTAAACAACGGTGCTAGTCCTGTACCGGTCATATATTCATGTGTTTAAAGGAACACTATAAAACATATATAAAACATATATTCCTGAAACTATAGGTGCCGTTTAGGTCCTTGGTCCCCCTTAAAAAAGTGAGTTACTCACCTTTTTTTCCAGCGTTGAACAAGTCTCGTTAAGCACTTCTAGTGGCCAGCTGAGGGTTTACATTTAAAAGCCTGCAGGGACAGGCAGAAGACACCAGACAAGCTACATTAACCCCTTAAGGACACATGACATGTATGACATGTCATGATTCCCTTTTATTCCAGAAGTTTGGTCCTTAAGGGGTTAAGCTGAAGTTGTTCTGGTGACCATAGTGTCTCTTTAAAATAACATCTAGAGAAACCAATGTCTGCTCCAGATATGTTTCATTTTCCCTTTATATTTAGTGATAATGGATGGTCTGTGTTATTAAGTGCAGACAGTATGTAACTAACAGTGAGCATGGATCAGTGTATTGGGTTTTGGCAGAAGAGCTAGCAGAGAGTGGGTGGAGCTAAATATCACTGTACTACGCCTTCCAGTATTTCAAAAGTACAAATAGGAATAATCGAATTTAAAGGGTGAGGCTGGGGATGTGGCCAGTGGCAGGGCTATCTGAGATACTTTAGGACACTAACCAGTAGCAATTTATGTAGCTACCAATGTAAAAGAAAAAAACTAATTTACACTTATTTGACTGATTTCTAAACACATTTATTGTGGTCTAAAGAGACATTACTGGGAGTATTATTGCAGTGGAGCTCTGTTATACACACAGACACACCAACAATAAGGAGTTAAAAAAAAAAAAAAAAGGGACATTGAGGTAGAAAATAGGGACAGAGGGATTTGGATCCAAAATAGGGACTGTCACTCCTAAGCAGGGGAACTTGGGTGATATGGTGTACCTGCAGATCTATTTAATGAAATGAGAGGCCCAAGAATAATCAAGAAAAAAATCTTATTAAGAAAACCATTCTTTGTCATTAATTATAAACTAGTTCCATATGTCATAGCAGTGCAAGACAGTATTTATAAAATCAGTCCTGCACTATATCTCCAATAAATGTCATTCTGATCATATTCAGGCGAAAGGGTTTTAATGATATTGTAATGATTGCATAGGCAAGTTTACCAAACATCTTGGAAATGTAGATCAAAAAACCTTTTCAGCGCCAAAGTTAGTCGTCACTAGTCTACGCAATTACCTTTTGTTTCATTTTTTTATTTGTTTTGTTTGTTTTTCTATTGTTACTTATGTAAAATTTTAAACCCAATTTTGCGGTAAATAAACCGCAAACAGCACTACTCAAACATCCAAAAATGCAGCTGACATTTCCATAGCAACTTCAATACCTTAGCATTACGCTTTCGAAAATGCGGTTTCACATACTACAGTATAAAGACATTTTTAACTGATGGGGGATTACAGTCCTGTATCTTTGTGCAGATAGTAAATGAACTAGACATGGTTTATATTCACATAGAAAGTTGAAGAAGGAAAAAAAAGGCTATTAGTATCATTGTTCTGATTAGAACTAAGTAGTAAGAAAAACAAGTCACAGCAGCTGTTATAGACACATTACATATTTTATGCATTGGGTATTTCCATCTTGTACACATTACAGACCGAATTTTATATTTTTGCTTAATTATGCATTGTGGAGCCAAATGCGGATAAAGAGAGATGTACTTGAAGCAATTGTCAAGGACTAGAGCTGAAAAGCATTGCATCTTCTAGACAAATGTTCAATGATGTGGCTGATAAATGTAGCAACAACAGCAAGATCTGTTTGCATAGGAACAAGTAAATGTAACTGAAATAATGAATCCACTTAGAACACACTTGGCAAGACAGAATATTGAGCCCACCTGTGAAGATCAGAATTGTAGAATGTTATAAAAAAAAAAAAAAAGTTAATTCTAAATATCTAGTATTTGAAACAACTCAAATGACTCAAACGTACAAAATGATCTCATGTGTCACAGTGATGCTATATACCTTAAGTAAACAATGCTCCCATCACATTGTTGGCATTGAGGAGCAGATGGGGGCAGCCAGCTCCACATTTGTTGCTCCCTTTAGCATTATGGGATTCCAAAGTACAGACATCACGATGGCTGATGTTCAGTTTGAGAGCAGGCAACCCCAAGACGCAAGAGGCCAGTTTGCAGAGGTGGTTCTATTGATTTATTTATTTTTTTACCTCCCCAGGTATTCCTAATTATCAGCAAATTGATGGTTGATTGATTATGAGTGATACCCAGATTAAGACTAGATTTGTAGCTGTGTTTGGGCCCTGGGATGTGTGGGGGTGGTTTGAGCACTCAGGGACAGGGAAGATTCTGGAGTTTCCTTGATCCCTCTCTCTTTCTATCCCTCCATTATTTTCCATCCTCTCGTCCCCTTCTCTCCCTTCTGCTTCACTCTTCTTTCTCTATAGGAGACTGCAACATGTGTTTTCCAGATACACACGTTTATCCGTTTTATACAATTATATATCAGCTGCGTTTTCATATATAAATACGGCTTTGCTCAAACCAGTTTCCTCACATAGTGAAATTGTGTTTTATTAAGAATTAGATGACATTATATTCCCCACAAGGTTGGGGACAAAGCTTACTCTGGTTGTTTGTCTCTATATTATACATCAATAAATAATTATTGAACAAAGCAACGTGATCAGCTATTTACTATACACAAAAAAAAAAAAACGTCAAGGCTTTGCAGCACAATACTGTATGTCTGCTGAAAACCAAAACTTTCAAACCTGTCACTTTATCCTGGCAGTAATATATGGATAGCTTTCAAACTCAGCAGCTTTAATAGGCTGCAGTGATCCAGCAGCCGCTCCAAATAACAAAAAAACTGATCAGTAAAAATGGCTTCACATTTGCCCTCAGAGAAATCGTGTGGGAGAAGAAACATTTGCTTCCTCTAACAACCAGGCCATTTCCAAGAAAATAAAGAGCCACAACAGCACATAAACATTAGGAGCTAATGGTCTGAGAACACTGCTATTTAAACTGTTTTCTATTTTTTCCTCCTTTAAAAGCACACACATTCTACAATCACAGGTCTCCAGGTTTGGGTGGACAGCTCCGCTTTTAGGGCTTGCCATAACAACTTTGTTCCCAAATGTGTAGCATGAGCGCAATATGAAAACGAGCTTGTGCTATGCTCAAGGCACTTTGGCTCTGCAAAGAGCACTAAATAAAGTGCCCTTTGCATTGTCCACCCATAGAGGGCTGGGCTGGATGACTGGCGTGAATTCACACCAGGCTGAGCTGCAAATTCTTGGGGAAGACCTGTCCCATTTGGGCAGTGCCAGTGACCCGATTATCATCACATATTTTACTGCCCCCAGGTATCCTGCTCCTCAAAACACTGATGACGGGGGCGATATGCATACCTCCAACATTATGTACGCATGTTCCAGTGATTTCAACGTTTCTATTCTATATAAAATAAAAGTATTAAATATAATATAAAATAATTATTAAATAGCAGTTTTGCTCTCCTCCTGCTTGCATGTGTCTCTATAGAGGCCTTATTTAAACCTTGCACTGGAGATTGCCCAAGGGGGAAAAATATCCTGTGTAGTTGTGTTTAAGAGCAGTGATCATCATATTAGGATACAACAATAACTGACAGACATGTGGTACACTGACACTGTGACAGGCTCATGCATTAAAAAAAATGGCTAGTGCAGCCATGTAGTATGTCTCTGGCATATTTGCATTGCCTCGGGAGATTCATTTCTTCTCTTTCTATTTTTTTATTTTTTTAAACATATCTCATTTTATTATTCCTTAAACGCCTTAGGAGAGCATTAAATAAAATATCATTCTGT